ATCTCTCATGAATGGCTTGAGTGACTTCTCACTCTTAGTTCCCATGAGAACTGGTTATTGAAAAGAACCTGGCACCTCTTCCTTCAATTGCCTTGCGTCTTCTCTCGCCATGTGATCTCTGCACACGCTGGTTCTCCTGCCTCTTGCACCATGAGTGGAAGATTCCTGAAGCCCTCAGAGAAAGATGCTGGTGCCATACTTCTTGTATAGCCTGCAGAAGCATGGGCTAAATAAACCTCTTTTCTTTATAAGTAACTCAGCCTCGGTTATTCCTGTATAGCAACACAAATGGACCAAGACAGTTAATATGGAAAAATTTTAAAGCCAGTTTATCCAGGAATATTTTGAAAATGGAGAACAATGGAGGAACATTAGCTCTATGAAATATTAATATATAAAGCCACAAGAAATAAAATAATGTCATATTAAAACATTAATTAATAAATAGACATTAACAAGCAGATGGATCAAGATAAAAGGCTAGAAATTCCAGAAATAGACCTAAGTGTATTTAGTACAGGAAAAATGGCAGTTTGACTCTGGTGCAAAAAAAAAAATATATATTTGCAATTAATACTATAGATAGAGGTTAACTTCACTAAAAGGAGGTACCAACATTCCAAAGAAAACCAGGCAAAAAATATCAAAAAATATCAATAGTTCACAGAAAATGAAATCCAAATGGCTCTTAAATACCTAAGAAGACATTCAAAAGAAATGAGACATGAAAAACACATTGAGATGGCATTTTCCATCTACCAAACTGGCAAAGATCAAAGCATTGAATACGCGCCATATTGGTGAGCTTGCCAGGCATTTGCCTATTTTGCTGTCCAATCCATTCCCAGCTCTTTTCCACCCTGCTGGTTTTACCATGTCCCCTGTCACCAAGAAGCATCTGGCAGAACAGCCTGCTGAAGGCTCAGTGGTCTCCTAGCTGGGAGACCACATGGACCACAGGCTGCGGGGCTGGGTTGCTGTCATAACAGGATGCAGCAGGTACCTTGAACCAGGAACCAATAGAGCATGTGATTTCTCCCCAGGTTAGAATACATGGGGCCAGGAACAAAGTGGTAGAATAGAGATGACTCCTCTCTCTATTCCTAATGGCTATTCATAGGCTTTTTGCTTCCCAGCCTTGTAAACTTGGGCTCTGCCCGATTAGAATTATTGATTTCCAAGAAAGAAATGCATCCACCAGGGACACAATAGTTTTACAGAATCAGAAGTTGAGACCACCATCAGGCTACCACAGGCTCCTTATGCCCATGAACCAATGGGCAGAGAAAGGGGTTACCATATTGGCTGAGAAGGATAATCTCAGTAACTCAGAGGAAACTGGTTGTCATGCGTAACTGGGGAGGGGAGGTCTATGTCTAGAACTGGAGGGATTCTCTGCAGTGCCACTTAGTATCCCATGACCAATAGGAACTCTGCACCCAAAATGGCAGGATTATTAAGAAATCAGACCCTTTGGGAATAAAGATTTGAGTCACTCCAATGCATAAAGATTTCCAAACAGCCAAGTGCTGGCAGAGGGCAAAGGGAATATGCAATAAGTGGTGGAAGAAGAAAGTGATAAATATCAAGTTCAGCCGCGTGGCCAGTGACAAGCATGAAGACTGAACAGCTACACCTGCTTTTACAGGCTTGTTTTAGCCAAATTTTTTTTCTTTCTCATTCCCTGACAATTTTGTAGGAGAGATGTTCATGATACTGAGGTTTACAATCAGAAAAACAACAACCAGGCCAGGCATGGTGGCTCATTTCCATAATCCCAGCACATTGGGAGGCCAAGGCAGGAAGGATTGCTTGAGGCCAGGAGTCAAGTTCAGCCTGCACAACATGGCAAGATCCCATCTCAACAAAAAATTAGCCAGGCATGGTGGCATGTGACTGTAGTCCCAGCTACTCGGGAGGCTGAGGCAGGAGGATCCATTGAGCCTAGGAATTTGAGGTTGCAGTGAGCTATGATGACGCAACTGCACTCCAGCCTGGGCAACAGAGCAAGACCCTGTTGAAAGAAAGAAAGAAAGAAAGAAAGAAAGAAAGAAAGAAAGAAAGAAAGAAAGAAAGAAAGAAAGAAAGAAAGAAAGAAAGAAAGAAAGAAAGAAAGAAAGAAAGAAAGAAAGAAAGAAAGAAAGAAAGAGAGAAAGAGAAAGAGAGAGAGAGAGAGAAAGAAAGAGAGAGAGAGAGAGAAGAAAGAGAAGAAAGAAAGAAAGAAAGAAAAGAAAGAAAAGAAAAATTGAAGATTATATCCAGACCTGAAGGGGCAACCCTGAAATATTGAGGTGTGTATGGTGAGGAGGGACTTTATGTGTTCCCATCTGGGGACGGGGCTCAAATGGGAACTGTCTCCCAGTTAAACATGGAGCTGAGCAGCAGCAGGGTTGCACTGTGGCATTCTTTTTTATTTTTTCCTCCCAGATCCATTCCCCATTTTCCCCCACTCTGGTTTGCATCATGGGAAATGCATTTATTTCCCAAGCTGAATTCAGGTCGCTTTCAGAAATGGGAGATATTGGCAGAAAACAGGAGAGTATGAACCCACCCTTCACGCAAGTCAATAACAGGGTGCAGGGTGAGAACTGTGGTAAGGGCCTAGCTGAAAATAATGATAATAATTAGCCACTGTCCCCCTGTTTGCTTCTCTGTAATTGCCACTCCGGAGTCATGCAGCTGGAGTTCATAACGATTCTTAACTTCTCCCTATAGCTGGCATCCATAAAGATTCTTAGTGTTCTCCATAGATAATATGTTTTTGAAACGTTTTTGAAACCTAGGGGTAGTTTCTGAGATATCTTCCAGGTCCCGCGTTCCAGTGGCATGGCTGACCCACCCAGACCAGTGGCCCATACCCAGGAACTGACTCAACTGGTCTTGTGACCCCCATCCAACAACCTGATCAGCAAAGAAGACAATTGCTACAACCCTATAGTTCTATCCCAAACCCAGGCAATTAGCAGGTTCAATTGCCTGTGCCAAACTGTCTTTAAAAACCCTGTCTCCCAAATTCTCAGGGAGGCAGATTTGAGAAATTTCTCCCATCGCCCCACTTGGCACTAAGAGGAATAAAGATTTTCTCTGCTGGAAAACCTGCTGACCCAGCGTACTGGCTGCTTCTTGGGCAGCAGGCAAAAGAACCCGGTTGGGTGGCCTTGCGGTCGGGGGTGGGGTGGGGACGTGAGGGCATCTCCAGCATCAGCCACTTCTCCTCCGGCCCACCCCCTCCGCTCCGGCTCCTGCCAGGCAGGCCTGCTGTGGCCCAGCTCTGGCTTTCTCAATGGCTCTAGTTCCTAGACTGAGAGCTTGGGCTCATCAGCCCTGGGGGCAGCAGCTCTGGCTGTTGCCATTGACCTGGGCTACCTCACCATCCCAGGTTAACTTCTCTAGCTCTCCAGCACCTAGGCACTCTGTTCTCTGTTTTAAATCCCCTCTGTTTAAAATCCCTATAGATGTCTCTTTTACTTGACTGGCTGATAAGGTGAGCAAGTGGGAAAACCAGCAGGTGCGAGTATAAATTAGAACATCTTTGGCTGGTGGGAATGTAAACAGTCAAGACACTATGCTGGACAATATCTATATTGCTATTAGAATTACAAAAGCTTGAGCCCTTTGCAATTACACTTTAAGAAACTCCTATAGATATACTGGAACATATTTAAATCATGCTTGTAATGTTTGTATAAGATTATTCATTGCAACATTGTTTGTAGAAGCAAAAGGTTGGAAACTACCTAAAAGTCCAGTAATGAGTGATTGATTAAACAGATTAGGATACATTCATAAACTAATAGACAGTCGCTCAAAAGAATGAGGAAGTTCATTATGCACAGTTAAGGATAAATCTCTAAGGAATTAAAAAATCAAGATATTCAACAATGCACATAATGCCACCATAAAATGAATGAGTATATAGATTACCTTTACTTATACTCACAGTGATTATCTGTAGCAAGAAACCAATAATATTGGTCACTTTTGAAACTAATAATATGGGAAGGTGAGAGAAGGCGATGAGAGGCAAATCTTTCACTGTTTACTCTTTAGTATTTTTAGAATTTAGCAATATGTGAGGGACTACATATTTCAAGTATAAATAATATTTACATTTTTTAAAAAAACACAGCTCTCTGCTACTTCCAAGAGACACACCTAAAACACACACATACACACACACATGCAGGCAGAGAGATTGGAAATAAGTGGATGGAAACTATATACTATGAAAAGCTAAACAGAAAGCAAAAGAGTGCTAGAGAAGACATTTTAAACAGACAAAATAAAAAGTAAAGCAAAAGCACTAATAGGAACAAAGAATGATGTTACATAAAATTTAATGGTGAAAAAAATCTACCAATCATAAATATGTATGTATGTAACAACAGTCGCAAATATATAAAGCAAAAACTAAAATAATCACGGGGAAGAAACTGATTGTGCCCACAAAGAATTAGTAAAGGCAGAAGATTAGAACAATAAAATTAACAAGTCTCATCTGGTAAGTATTTATAAAATCTTTCACCAACAAATGGAGCCTATGCATCCTTTTCAGGCACACATATAACACACAAAAACTGACTTACGACCATAGAAGACAGAAGAAATCTCAACAGATTTCAAAGAATCCATGCCAGACAAACCATGTTCTCTGACCACATGTTGATCAGCAATCAGCAATAAAAAAAGATCATTTTATCATGTTTGAAAATTTAAAAATACATTTCTAAGAAATTTATGAACCTAAGTAGAAATCACCATGGAAACAATTAAGTTTTTGGCATGTGATGGCAACAGAAGAGCTAAATATCAAACTTTATGGAGAGAATATTTAGTGGAACATTGATAACTTTGAATGGATCTATTTTTTAAAAAACAGAAAAATTGAAAATAAGTTAATAAACCATTCTCTTCTCAAAGCTAATATAGTTACAGAACACAGAAGAAAGGATTCTGGGTTAGGATGTTGAAACACATGCGTCTAATTTCTCTCCCTCCAGGGACTCCACTAACACTACAGTAAAAGGATTTCTTAAAAAGACAGAAAGGCACAGACATTGGGAGGCGAGAGGAGGAGACAACAGCAATAAAATGTGGAAGCTGCAATGCAGATGGATGAATGGTAACTGACTCTGCAGACCCTCAACAGTCAAACCCTAAACCAACACGGGAAGAACTGTGAGCTAACCTGTTTTATTACTACATGGAGCTCAGACTCAGGCAGTATCAGGTTCTCTTCTTTTTCCTTTTTTATTTTTTTTTTTGTAGGGAGCTCCTCCTACTCCCCAGAGGTCACTTATCCTTAGGGTTTTGCAGTCTACACTGCAGATAACCACCCTCTCCCACCGTAGCAGATGATTGAGAGCCCTCTGGTCTGGGGGCCACCAGACACAGTTAAGGATATGGATATCTGCTGCAAAGAGGGAGATTAAGTGTTGTATGCAACTTGGTTAAGACAGGAGATCCTAAGACTTTTCTCCAGGAAATCTGGTAGACCAAGAGGAAAGATCTAAAGCAATTGACATCAGCAGTTTCTCAAAAAAAAAAAAAAAAAATAGCCCACCAGACTACTCTACAATGAAAACAAATGTTGGCCAGCCTCCCCCATTCTCTAATGCTTCCAACCACCTTTCTAATCTGCTACTTTTAACTATGAGAAGGTACCTAGCCACGGCTCACTTTCTCCAGAAGGGGCTCTTATAAATTCCCAAGAAATCTGAAGCCACAGCATGACTTGGAGACTCAAGTCAGTGTCTCTTCCCTGGCCTTGGAACTATTGTTCTTTCTTTGCACAGCTACGTTTGGGCTGGCTACCCAATATTTCAAAATTGACTTTCAAAATGTACTAAATAGAGATACACATGGAGGTGGTTAAACTGTCATGGAACTGGGTGGTGTATCTCCGGAGGACAGATTGAAGGAGGGCAAAGCACATCCTGAGAATGTGCATTTGCAGTCAATGAGCATTCGCAGTCCCATTTGGGTCCCTTCTCTGCCCTTTCCTGCCCTGCTCTGAGTCCTGGAAGGCTGATCCCTACAGACTGCACCACCAGGGCACTCTTGCTCTATGGGTTTGACTCCTTTGGGCTTTGAACAATGGGCAATATTTAATAATAACAAAAAACAAAAATTGAAGGCAAGAGAAGAGAAACGTTGAGATTTTAAGTCACCTACTCCCTGATACTTTGGCACATTTCTGCCAGGAGCTACATCTGCCTAGAGCAGGGGTCCTCAAACTTTTTAAACAGGGGGCCAGTTCACTGTCCCTCAGACCATTGGAGGGCCGTTGAAGAGTGCAGGCACATTCCACACATGCGCACTGTGGGCCCGGGACGAGTCGGCTGCTAAGCAGGACAGGCAGCGGTGGCAAAAATGCCCACTGGATAAATGTCCTCAGCGGGCCGCATGTGGCCTGTGGGCAGTAGTTTGAGGACGCCTGGCCTAGACCATCGTCCTTGTTGGGTGGCCCCGCTTCCTCAGTCCCTGGTTTCCCACAGGTTCCACTAACACTGTCCCCTACCTTTGCTCCCAGAATTGGAATTGGATCCGTAAGAGGAAGTGATATTATGCAAGAAGTTTTCTGGGACAATTGAAGATCTTTATGAAAAATACAATAAAATTGGATCCCTCCATCACACTATACACAAAAATCAATTCCAGGTCAATTAAAATCCCAAATTAATATCCTTAATGATAGCATTTTAAAATAAATAAAGTAAAATTATAAAAATAAAAAAAAAATAAAAAAATAAAAAAATCCCCAATTAAGGTTGGGAAACCTGTTAAACTTAATGAAGAAAATATAGAATAATATATTCATAACCTCTGGGGAGTAGGAAGATCTCCTTAAAGAAAAAAAAAAAAAGGAACATAAAAAGAGGATAAACCATTAAAGTACATTTTATTATGTTAAAATATAAATCTTTTGTTCACCAGACACATAAATGAAGTTAGAAGACAAGGCACAGTCTGGGAAAAGATATTTGTAAAACTTGAAACTAATGAAGGATTATGTAGAAAAGTTATATATGATTTTTACAAATGAATTAAAACAAAAAAAAGACCGACATATCCACAGAAAAGGAGGTAAAGTATAGAAAAAGGGAAATTACAGAAGAAAACTGAAAATAAGCATATGGAAAACATACTCAGCAGCACTGACAATTAGGAAAATGCAAATAGAAACAACAGTGAGATATCACCAGACTGCTGAAAATACTGGTGTGGTAACACCCCGGGTAGGTGAGGATGTGGAGAAATGGGACCTCGCACGTGTACTGGTAGGTATATTTGGCAGCAGTAGTAGACCCAGCAATTCTATTATACTCCCAGGTGCATGTGCCAGGAAAACAAATCTTCCAGACAGGTGCAGTGGCTCACGCCTATAATCTTAGCATTTCAAGAGGCTGTGGCAGGAGGATCACTTGAGCCTAGGAGTTTGAGACTAGCTTGGGCAATGTAGGGACACTCTGTATCCACAAAAAAATAAAAAATTAGCTGGTGCTTGTAGTCCCAGCTACTTGGGAGGCTGAGGCAGGGGAATTGCTTGAGCCCAGGAGTTCCAGTTTACAATGAGCTATGATCCTGCCACCGCACTCCAGCCTGGGTGACAGAGTGAAACCCTGCCTCTAAAAAGAAAAAAGAAAAAGAAAATTTTCCATTTTTATACCAGGAGACAGGTACTAGAGTATCTATTATAGTCCTTTGTAAAAGGCAAGAAGAAAGAAAGAAAGAAAGAAAGAAAGAAAGAAAGAAAGAAAGAAAGGAAGGAAGGAAGGAAGGAAGGAAGGAAGGAAGGAAGGAAGGAAGGAAGGAAGGAAGGAAGGAAGGAAGGAAGGAAGGAAGGAAGGAAGGAAGGAAGGAAGGAAGGAAGGAAGGAAGGAAACAGCATAAATATCAATCAAAAGGAGAATGGATAAATAAATTACGAGAGCTTCCTAAAATGGAATACTGTCCAGCAGAAGAGTGAAAATGAAACAATATGGAGAAATATCCAAGAGCAAAAAGTTAGGTAAGAAAGCAAGTTACAGAAGGATGGCTAAATGACAACACGTCGAGGGCTGTCTGGAAAGCATCCAGCCATTGTTTTTTTTGTTTTTGTTTTTGTTTTTACAGTATGTCATGAGCAGGTAAAGCCATTGTTAACATAATGGTTCATATAACATGGCTGGATACTTTCCGGACAGCCATCACATATATAAAGTTCACAAATGTGCAGAATAATGCTGTATTTGTAAAGGCTATCTGCACATACAGTAATAGCGTAAAAAGAAATACATGCGTGAGATTGAAAAACATCAAATTTGGAATAATGAGAACCTCTGGGGAGGAAGGGCAGGAGAGAGGGAAGAAGCAAGAGAGAAGGGAACAGGTACAAAATAAGGGGCTTCCAGGATGTATCGAATGTGTTGCTAAGATTTTATAGCAAAGAAGAAAAAGGCTTTTGATAGAGTGGGTACATAAGTGTGAGATTGTTCTTTGTAATTTTCCGCATGTTTAAAATATGTCACAATGAAAATGGTTGTAGAATGATCTTAAAGAGTATTCATAGACATTTAGCACAAAGGTGGTGGAAATAAGACTTCTGCCCTCAGCTGGATGAGCCAGATCCCACGTGAAGTGCTGACTGCGTACTTAGACCACGCAGATAAACATGTGTTTGGCCAGTGAGCAGTGGCCAGACCTGTCAACGAACACAAACTAGGTGGGAAAAGAAATAGGGAAATGCACCTGGGATGTTTAGCCTTGAGCCAAAGACTTTGTGAAATTTTACAAGCAGTGAGTGGGACATGCCAGCAGCTTGTGGAGCATGATCCTGGAAAGTGGCAGCCTGCCAGCGAGCATTTTTTGTAAGTTCAGATGAGACACAAATGCTGTCCGGTCCTCAGCCTCAGCCTAGTTGCAGGGCACCTCTGATGATAAACTTCCTTGATCTAAGATGCACAGGCCTTTCTGGAAAGGCCCAGATCCCCTGGCTGCCCTCGGAGTCCCGAACCATGTCCCCTCACGAGGCTGACCTTGAACTGGATTCTCGGGGCTGGGAGGTAACACAGCCCCACAGCTAACTCTGTAGCTTGGGGTCTTTCAGACTCACTGGGGTCCTGGTCTTGATCTGAACCCCGGGATGCTGTGTCTAAGTGCCTATGTGCAGCAATCCATTTGCATCCACTGGAGTGAACCCACAAATGGGCAAAGAGCTATGTATGACACTAAGTGTAGCTTCCCTCTAACATGAACAGTCAACAACAAGCTCCCAATCGTTTCTATTCCATTAAACATTGCAAATTAGAGTCCAAGGAGGAAGCTAATTTCCAATCAAACAGAAGAACCGGGGGCCCAAAATCTGTTCTCTGGTGTTTGCCCAGATGGCCACGTAGGCTCACGCTCACAAGCCAACTCACCCACTCAAAACATAACGGAGTGCAATGCGTAGAAATAAACAGGTGACTAGATCCTCTGTCATGCGTTCTTTTGCTTTTATTATAGTCATTCGTTTTTAACACATCCAAGGGGTGTGACTTGAATGCCCCCATATTTTGTGGAAAGGGTGCAGGTGTCTAAAATGGGTTCGCTTTTGACTTGTGTCCTTTTGCCACCAATATCCAGGCAGTCACGGGGCACACGAGAGCCTTCCCTTTGAGCCGATATTACGCTCTGCCAAGTGACAGCACGACGGCCACATTTCAGACCAATTTATTCTACTTGAATATAATGTGTCTCATTAATCTCTTCCATCTGTTGTTTATGTGCATGAACAATTCTAATGGGAAATATAAAGTCCCGACACAGGATTTACTACTTGGGCCTCTGTGTCCAGGTTTAATTTGTAAGGAGCTACTATTCCCGCAGATGGGACACAGACATCTAAGCACTGGCTCTGCCCCAGTCCCAAAGACATTTGTGAGAACTTCCCTGTGTGCCCGGGCAGCGTTCCCATGGCCAGCGCCACACAGAGGCTCATGTGTCACCATCCCCTGGTAGCGTCAGAAGTCAAAGGCAGAACAGCATTTCCAAGGCAGGAACGGAGGCCTGCCAACTCTGTCATTCAGGAGCTTTTCCTCTTCCTACTGCCACTGCTTTCAGATCAATGCGTCGCTCAGTGCACCCGCCACCAGGCTCCGG